AGGGATCCCAAGCCTGCAGCAGGCAGTCTTCCCCCACCCCCACCCCCACCCCACGGACAGTTCTGGGGGGCACAGGTCCCCTCTGCCCCCCCCAGAGTGTGCACAGCAGCAGGGAGCCAGCCCCTCCCCACCCAAGCCCGCAGCAGGCAGGCAGCAGGGGGAGAGCTGGGCTCTGCTCCAGGGCAGCAGCTGCCACCTCCTGCTGGGGGCAGGGGCTGTGGACCTGGGTCCCTGGCCCCACAGCCCTGGCCTCTGGGGCTCCCCACTGGGAAGTGTGTGGGGGGCAGGGAAGTTGTTGGGGGAGAGTGAGGGGCATAAGCAGGGCTGGGTGGCTGTGGGGAGGGAATGAGGGCAGGAACAATGCCAGGGGGCTGTGGGGGAGAGTGAGGGATACCAGCAGGGCCAGGGCACTTGGGGAGGGGGGGGAAGTGAGGGGCATCAGTAGGGCCAGGGGTCTGTGGGGGTTGCCTTTCATTTTAATCAAGGATTTGGAGAGGGTTATGAGAGAATTTGTGATTTTTTTTAATCAGGGAAAACCAGGATCCTGATTATCAGTGCTAATCTGTTACCATCTATCAAAAGTCTCCAAAGCACAGGGGTTGCAGTGATGGAGAATACCCACAGTATGTAAGAAGCACATATGTGTGTACATTTATGGAATACCTATAAATAAATACACAGCGTACAAAAAAGCTGAGCTGCAAAATCCTGAATTTAAAATATGAATTGCAAGCATTTCATTTAGTAATTACCTGAAATTCAAAAAGTATCAAATATAGCCCAAAAAGCACCCTATAGAAAGAGTTTATATAGTAGTAGTATAGGAATTTTCTTGTAGAATAGGAATTATGGATGTTTAGCTGTTAAAAATAACAGCAAATGTTTTGATTATTTGACACTACTGCATTCAAAGAGTCACACAACAGAGGCACAGTTCATCTATCCTTTCTCCAGTGACAAAGTTAAATATTGAACCTACCACTTACAATGTGCTGTGAAAGCTACCTAAAGAATGCAGCTTTTCACTTAAAAGCAGACTTGTACATAGTAGGGATTACAAGTTTTCAACAACCTATTTTTATTTTGCACAGTCTGTTTTTTCTTTGATGTTTTAAGAATCTGCTTATTCTTCTGTGTAAGTACATTTTCTATGTGCTATCATAATAAATGCATTTTCTTTTTATCATTTTTTAGAAAAGGGGCCATTTTATAGTAATTGATGAGACTGCAGTTCTGTCCTTGACCTCACCTGAAGCAAGATAAGATTCAAATTACACAGGGGGAAATAAGAGTCAGTTTATTAAATCTGCAGCCCAATCCTGCTGCACTGAATTTAATGGTAAAAATCTCAATGAATATTCTGAAGACCTTCAGAAAGGCTAACAAGGGGCCTTGTTCTAATTCCTAAGCTTCATTGATCAGTCATTCTAGGTACTGTCAGATCAATAAAAATCTTCCTACAGATAATATGGGTTCCTTTTCCAAAGTCTAGAAATCTTGAGAAGTTTCATTTCTATATTAAAATGAAAATTTTGCAGCTCAATTCATCACTTACTTTTTAAAGTGGTAGTTCTATCTATTCATACGGTTAGGTTTGCAATGATCAAATCAAACTAATGAACTATTATCATTTCCCCCAGAGGTCTACTTTTATTTCTTAAAAGACAAAAGACTAATTGCACCTATAAGTACTGATGCACAGTAAAAGGCCAAAGACAAAATAAAAAGAAGCATATATTTTTAAAAGAGCTCAATAGCAATAACAAGATAAATTTACAGCCTAAATCCTGTAACTTTTACACATATACATAATTATTTTTTATGCAAGTAGCACCACTGAAGTCAATGAAATTGGTAGCAATAAGCACTGAAAGACTGTTCTGTATAGCATTCTTTACAATGTTCTCAGCATACTGGAATGTTATAACTAGATATAAATGGAAGAAATGCACATTTCATTTGTTCTTTTTAAATTTATAAATATTTTTTCATTTAAAAAGTGGCCTATGTATTTAGTCATTGATTATTAGACACTGTATTCTTAAAATGCCTATGTGGCCACATTTTAAAACAAGCTTTTCCACATAAAGCATTTCGGAGAGCTGCTCTCTTCCCACCCCTGACATTCTGAATCATGTTTTTAATAACAGAAGAAAGCTCTGATACTTTCATAGCTAACCCATGACAAGATTTGTTAGTAGGCACCTCTTTAAATAAAGCATACTCCACACTGTGCTTTTATTTATCTCAGTTGGAACTGAGTATCCAAATACAACAGATGCTGTATGATGGATAAAGTGTTTGATTGCAACAAAGGGAAGTAAAATTCCAAATATAGCAAGAAAAAGACAACTACATACTTTTTGTAACAAATGTAGATGTAGAGAAGTGCAGCTGGGGGACAGCAGAAAGCTTAAGAGCACTCCTGGAACAAAAAAAAACATACAAGATAACGACAAAACAGAATTAAACATTCTTCACATTATTTTTTTTAAGATTCAACCATTTGTTTCAGCTACCTCCTTGCTTACCTCTATCATGGCTACAGGCTCTCTAGTCTCACAGTACAACGGACAGGTCTTGGCCCCTGATTGAAAAGTCACTTCACACGTGAAGGTTCCCACAACGGCTGAAAAGTGTCTGGATTCCACTCTTCTCTCGAAGTCCTGCCATCAGACCTCCCAAATATGTGAGAACTTGTTGGTGTAGATAAATAAAGAAGTGTTTGTTAACATGGAAGAATTGTAGAATGCCATGTTTACCCAAATCCAGGATGACACTGAATTTAAAATGTCCCCCCAGTAGTAAGATTCTACCCATGGAAAATTTATAAATTGATTATAATTGTCCATGTATAGAATCTAATTATTGGAAGGCCACCTTAAATTAATCCCCCACCTCTACCTCTGTGACAGGTAAAGCAGCAGCAGAGGGGCAGGAAGGAAGGAGAGCCAAGCCTGTGCCCTATGCCTCCCCCCCCACACACACACAATCCCCTGCTCTCCCTGGTGTGCACCCCAAATGCCTCCCCACCTCCATGTGGTACCTGTGCCTCCCCCCACACCTACACACCTCAATGCCTGCTGCTCCCAACACTGAACACACCTTGATTAGAAAAGACAAGCTGGACTGAAAAGTTTAAAAGGGAGAATGCTGCCCCCTCCCCTGCCTCCTCCTAGTCACCAGTGGCTTGAGTCATGGCTCCAGGTTTGGCTTCAGCTCCAGCCTCAGAGCACATGCTCACTATGGCCCCACCCAGCCAGAAAGCTGTGGTTGTAGAGGTGGCATCTCCAGGTTCAAGACTGGAGCTGCCGCCATTGCTTCCTGGCCAGACAGGAGCAAGAGAAGTTATCTCTTCTCCAAGATAATATGCTTGATCTGTAAATAGATCATATCTGTAAATCGATCAGATCATGGTTGATCTGTAAATAGAGCATCATATACAATATAGAAACATTTTCTGGGAGCTACTCCAAGCATTTTATTATATAGTATTTGCATTTTTAAGAGCAAGTGGCAGATAGCCAAAGGGCCATTCTGACCTCTCATTTAAACTTTTTAGTCCAGCTTATCTTTTCTAATCAAGTTGTGTTCAGTACTGACAGAGTGAGGCAAAAAGATGGCTTTGTATTCCTTCAGAACCAGAACAAGAGCAAGTTCATTCAGCCCCCAATGCAATTTGCAGTTCCCCTAAGTTGTACTCAGCGGTATGCCCTACAGGACAATTTAATGTTTGGCCTTCTTGAAACTCACTCAGGCTTCACCTGCTTTCTCACCATGCTAAAGGCAGGAAAAGGAGTAGGATAAGGCTGCTATATTGGTTAAGATTTTAGCAGTTCCCAATCTGTGGTATGCATACCACCAGTGGTACGCAGACATCCTGTCAGTGTTATGCATTGACAGATTTATTATAATTACTTTATATGACAAAAATTTGTTGGTGGTAAGGATGAACTGAAAACTTTCCTGGTGGTTAAGGAATATTGTTGTACATTGGTGGTGCGCAGTCTGTCAGAGTTTGGGAACTGCTGGGTTAAGTCATCTTTTTTAGCTTTACAATTATTAGGACCTCACTGTAATTTAAATTCTAAAGATCACACATTTCTTGATTATGATTGATCCTCTTTAGTTAGCTCTATTGTTTTCCCCATTCCCTAAGCCAGGGATGTAAAGCATGTGGCCTGTGGGACCTGCCAGGCTACTGGTGGACAACCAGAAGTTGAGGGGGTGGCCGGGAGAGCAGCCTTCTGCAAAATCTGGGGCCCTCAGGGCTCAGTGAACATGGTGATCAGTGGCAGGAGGGCAAGTAAGGGCTGATGTAGCCCCAGCTGCCCTGTGGCTGCATAGTCCATCTACATGGCTGCCACCACTGCAGGCAGCCATTTGGCCTGCCTTCTTGTCCAACCTCCTCCACTGCTGGCCCCACCACAGCCCCATGCTGGAGCTGGAGTTGGAGCCACTGCCAAGGCCCACGTGCCTCAGGCCAGAGCCTCCATGTACGTTGGGCTCATCTGGTCCACAAGAAGCCCCACAGACCAGATCTGATCCAGAGCATGAGGTGAGTCTGACACCCCAGCCCTAAGCTATCCCGTTTCAATCACTTTTACATTGTTCATTCCCTAAAGGGCATTCCACTTCAGCTTGGTCAAAGAATTCTCCCGCATTCTTCCGCTCCCTCCCCTTCCAAGACCCATGGTGTCCAGCCAGTTGTGTCCAGGGAAAACGGGCTTTTCTCCAGCCCCTCCTTCAGTGAGAAGACAGCTAGTAGGAATAGCTTAGAAGCAGGATCAGAGGTTTATTATCAAATTGCTTCTTAAATTGTTGCATTCAGATGACAAATCCTGGTGGCAGGCACCTTATATTTGTAAGACACACTTCCTATCAGCAGATAATTGTCTCAAAGATCAGGATATATATATCTGTTCAGTGATCTGTCTCAGTACCAAGATAGCCTGGATCACTAGAAGAATTGAACACCTAAATCTTTAGCATGGTTTAGCCATGCAGTACCTATGTGAAAAAGCAGGGCCACTGAAGCTTTTTAAACAGACCATTGAAGCATTACAGAGGTTGTGCTTCCCCAGACTCCCACTCAGTCTTTAAGTCTGTTCCAAAGCCAAGGATAGAACCTGTATCACCCATGTGCCATCCAAAGAGGATTGCCCCATGACTGTCATTCTTGCCTTGTTTAGAGGAATATGAATATGGGAAAAGGAACCTTCTCCAGAACACCTGCTTTCTGAATGTATACTGGATTGTATCATACTTTAGCCTTGCTTGTGTGATAGCTATAGCACCAATTGAAGGTATAATACTAGCTGGCATCCTGTTTCCATAAGTTCAAAAATTCATTTATAACAACTTCCAGAAAGTCAAAGAATGATCAACTCCAAAAAATTTTTTGTATTTCTGGCTTTGATCCTTTACTAAACTATTTAAAGGGCACAATGCATGTGGTAGTAATTAGTGTCAACTTCCATCAAAATTTAAATAGTGAAAACTAACTTCTTTTCAGTCCACACACTTTCTTTCTGGGAAAGCAGATTCTTTAGTATGTGGCTTCTAAAACGATTGCTTCTGTGACAACAGTCCACACTTTCCCTGCATTATGTGAGTCACTAGCATCTTCTGTGACTGTGCAATTAATTAGCACTGGCTTATGTATTTTCTAGTATTTCAGATCTCTCATTTATGTTCTAAGTCACTTTTCTCAAGTTAGACCTCAGTTTAGCTCTCTCATAAAGAAATTAATATTACAGTTCATTTATTATTGCATGTTATCTATATCAAAACTAAGAAACATGAAACTGAGGGAAGAGAAAGTTATTATGCTAAAGAAATTAATCCCACATGATTTTGAGGCTCTTTATTTATGAGTTTGCATTTTGAATGCCTGCCTTGCACTTTATAACCTTTTGCCATTTGACAGTTGCAGTATGACTTACATTAGTCTCTTAAATTGTAATGTTTCAAATTAAAAACAAAAAATGGTTTTCCCAGAATAACTACCATATTTAGTTGAATACACGATGCTTTCCCCCAAACAGCATGAAGGAAAAAAACCCTCAGCTTTTAATTGCATACAAAGATACCACATTAAATAAATTGTCTGTCATTAAACTGCTACCAAAAGCAGGAGGTGCTCAGTAATAGAAACCACCTATGAACCTGATTAAATGCAACCAACACTGAGCATGACTATAAAACATATGGCCCATATTGGGCAAACATACTGATAGGAGCCTTTTGTGTATGCACATGTGCGCATGTACACACACACACACACGTAAGGCCCTTAAAAAAAACCAATGCATGTTCACTCTGCAGAGAGCTGACACCAGGCCTGGAGGTACTGCAATACCAGGCCAGCACTGGGAGGGCCAGATCCAGCCCTGACACTCCCCCTGTGATGCCAAAAATGCTATGTTTGATCTTAGCAAAACATTAGCCAAAACCTTAGCCAAAAACCTTAGCAAAACCTTAGCCAAAAAGGTTGAGATGCTGATGGGAACACATCACAAAGACAGGTTAATGCAGCCTGAATAAGATATCATAGTGTCTGTTGTGCTCAAACCCCCTCAGTGCCAACTCTTTTTCAAGTCCGTGTCAGCCACTACATTTCAACTTCATCTTCACTCCAACAGCTGAGCTGGGTCTTTCTTTCCCATTTCCAATTATTCTTGTTTCCTCATCAGCTTGAAATGTCTGGTAAACATCACCAAAGGGGGCCCCCAAACAGTTCACCTAGAATCTCTGTTTTGCCCTCACCCTTCAGTCTGTCACATTATGATTAGTGTTGCCTTGCCCCGATAAGGTGAAGCCAGACAAGGTTGCCATATGCCCCATCTGCATATACATTTTTGGAGGATCCCAGGACTTGCAACAAGAACATCTGGTTCCAGTCATGAATGAGGGGCTAATTAACATATGGCTCCTTTGTGGGGGTGGTATCTGGATATATACGTACTGATCAGCAGGGATCCTGGTTTTCTCTGATTTAAAAAAAATCCCCACTTTTCAGGTTAAAAAAGTAACCCAAAATCCACATTGTTCCATGATCAAAATGAAACACCACTATATATACATGTTTATTTCAAAGTCAGTGTTTTCAAATTGGCCTTACTTCCATGTGCTCAAGGAGTGCAGGATCTGACACTAAGGGGGAGTTGGGAGGATGAAAAGGGCTGCAGGGTGAAGAAGGGGGGGCCACTTGACCCTCCCAGGTTTATTTTTCTTTTTGTAGCAGTGGGAGGGGAACAAATAATTAGATTCTATACCTGGAAAATTATAAAAATGTATAAAAGTTCCATATGTAGACTCTAATAATTGGGAGATTGTCTTAGATTGAAGTAAATTGGATAATTATCTGTGCATAGATTTGAAATTCTATTTTGTCCCCCAAACCACTTTACTGAGTAACAGATACTTCAAAAAATAAACACATAGAGATAATCTGAAAGCTTTACTGATACTTTGACACAAATCTAAATTTGATTTCAATTTAGTGATACCTTAGGGGAGAAATCCATTAAGAAAAAATCAAAAAATCAATAGCTTTATTGGAACATGCAACTCATATGGGACATTTAGGCCCTCGCAAAAGCAAAGGTTAATACAGTTTAGATGACAGTCAAGTAAACATTTTTTCAGGTTAAAAGCACAATGCATGGGCCAGGTAATCTGTCTTAACAAA